ATATATATAAAAAAGAGAATTACCAATCAAAGATAAATAAGAAAATAACAACTGTAGTTGCCAGGACTTCCTCTTAAATAAAAAAAATAGCTACTGTAGTTACGAGGGCTTCCTCTTAAAACACAAGTTTTATGCCTTTTCTGTGTTGTTCTTCCCTAAAGACCTAACACTAAGAAGCATCTGTTTCCCTGACAAATGGAGGTGACACACTGGCCAACAGTAAAGCCATTACCATCAATCGACTCCAACTTGGCAGGGTTCGCATAAGATTTCATACGGAAGTCCTGTATCCAGCGCATGTTGCTCTCGTTCACATCCACAAAATCAATTGACTTCCCCTAGGGAAAACATTTTCAAAGACTGTGGTTAGGATCACTGCACAGACATCCACTACATTTCTTGAAGGATAATCACGTGGTATTTTTAGAGACTTTAGCTGTCAAAAACCTGAAGTTTTCCATTTTTCCCACTGAAGTAGTTCTTCTAATAGTTCTCCCTGCACTCTTTGTGGGTAACAGATACTGAACAGAGAAGTTCAGAACCATACTATAGAAAGCATGCATTCAGTTCAATATTAAGAAAACAGAATTTTAAAAAAGTCCCTTAATCTGTAAAGCCAATAAAACACCTCTCAAAAAAAGTTTAGTATAATTCTCTCTTGTCAATTGAGATATCAACTGATTTCAGACTGAAATCACAGTAACCGCCCATTTTTACTTACCCCAGGAGTCGCAACTTGCAGATTAAAAGCAGAGCTAGTCAGTGTAAAGCAGTGAAGGAAGGACTGGGCTGACACACCTGAAAAACAGAGTCCAACAACTTAAGGAAACAACAGTTATATTTTAATCCCAGCCACACTAGCTCATTTTATCTAGCAAAGTACACGAGCTTGGTTTTTTGCTCATCTTAAAAGCTCTCAATAATTTCAGAGGGCTATTTTAAGAGGTAAGAAATGCACAGCCTTCTTTATAGGTGAACTATGTATTGAGAAATACATGATGAAGGTATTGTTTGTCCAGGTTGGGGGGGTTACAGGGAGGGCAGAGGGAAAGAAGGCAGAAGTGAAGGGAATTTGGCTTCCTCCAGGTACACATGCAAGCGCAGCTCAGCTGCATGCGTGCTCAGAAGCCGGTATGCGTAGAGGGGAAAACCAGCAGGTATTCACAGCCCAGCTGTGCACAGAGGGACACGCAGGCACGTGTGCATCGCAGATGAGCACTTATGGAAAGCGAGCACATCTGTGCGCAACACAGGTGCACAGCAGCAGCATGTGTACGTACCCGTGCAGAGCAAAGCCGAGCAAAAAGCGTGCACACGTGACTGCACAGCTCAGCTGCAGTGACTTACACACACAGCCGAGATGCACGCCTGCAAATGCACGGCACAGCTGCGCAAGCTGTGGCGCACGCACACGCGTGACAGGACGGTGCCTGAAGATGGGGACGCCCGTGCACGGCGCAGGGCCACACGAGCACAGCAGGGACACGCGTGCAAAGCGGGGTGCGCGGGGCACACCACCGGTGAGCGTGCAAAGGGTCCCGCTGGCAGGGGACCGGCCACACAGCGCGGCCGCTGCACCCCGGGGTGGGGTGG